AATTTTTCCACCCCTAGGACTGCATTTCGTGCGTTTTCCGAAACAGATTTTTGGATACAGATATCATTTTGGTTTGTTCAAACTGAATCCAAGTAATTGCAAATATTTGGTTAACTGTAGACCTCCCACCCTTTGCTTATGTTACTGTAGGTGTTAAAAAGGTTATGCAATAACCATGGTTGACAACTAAGGAACAACGCGCACGGAGCCTGGGGATGGGTTTCATGCTATAAAGGTGTGGAGCATAACATGTGCAAAGCTCATTGTATGGAATGCCATGGATTTATGGGATAAGGTCTCTGGGACTGTGAAGATAACGATGTCATAAACACTACAGCAAAATCAACCAACAGCTTTGTATTAATTTGATAATTTATACTGAATACTACAAATACTATTTCATAAAAAGAACATTAGATTTGATATTAAAATTCGTGTAAAATGTCTCTTTTGTTTTAAATATGAGCAAAATAGTGATGAATTACTTTAGAGTACGTTTAGACGAGTGTTTCGAAACACTAAGAATGTTTTCTGAGTGTAATTCCATGGCTCGCCCTGTTGAATGATGTTGCAAAAATAACTCTAGATTAATTTCTCAAAATTTTCCAGGTTCACACAAGACAATAATGAGAAGAAAGTTCTATACAGATGTGGAAAAAGTGAGATCTTGGGATCTTAAGGAACACTTGCCTTAGCAAGAAGATAATTGAGGAACATTCATTTTAAATTTTTCACAAATACATACTGGGAGAATCTTAAGCTGGATTTCCACTTGCAAGAAACATTTCGCTGTCGAAATGTTTCGCTCAATTTCTTTTGAATTGTTGAGCGGTCAAGTAGAACTCATTTATTCGGATGGTCACAATTCAAAAGAAATCAAGCGAAATATTTGGACGACGAAATATTCTCTGTAAGTAGAAATCCACCCTTCAGCAATCATTAGATCATACTTCCTTATCTGTCATTTGGGATTGTGAAGTGTTGTTCAATGTTTAAAATTTGGCATAATGAACTGTGAAATTTTCCATTGTTTTTACGCACTTTTGAAGAACATTTGAAAAAGGCAAATTCAAGATCCGAGGACTTTTTCACACTTTTTCCAGATCTGGTTCTGATCAGATTTGATTTAAGGTTATAGGATACCCTAGAACTTTAAAAATTTCAAAACTTTTTTTGACATATTCTTGTAGTTTAGAAATAGATCTGTCGTCAAAAAACATTTCAAACTAAAATCTTACAAATTAAACAAGTTATCAAGTAACACGCTTTCCGAAGTATACATACTTGGCGGAAAAACTAATTAGCATTAAAGTCAATTTTCACACATTAATTTTGAGTCGTATACACACACTATATAACAAGGGTTCGTTAAGCGTGCGTTTTAATCGATTGTTCTTAAATTTGCGCACGTTATATAGGTGTATGCATTGGTTACGAAAATATGTTTCCGCGACCTTTACACGGCCTTTAGGTGCAATTAAAGTTACAAACCTTTTGTTGTGCATTGGTTGCAATAAAACACAAGTCAGGAAAGACTGTGCCGTAGCTAAGTAAACCCTAAAGCAACAATAAAATGCGAACACATTTTTTTAGAACAATCCTCGAGAAGGGTACAAATGATAGCTTGACATGCAGGTTTTTCGTGAGTCTGGCGTTCAACGCAAATCGCGGCGCGAAAGTACCACAAACTTAAACTTGTAGCAATATTCGGGAAATGATTTTTCTCGTATATTTTATACGACTATGTTATTCTTCATCCACTTGGCTACATTCGGCGAACATTTGATAGAAATTGGATAAAATATCGCCGAGTAATGGCAGATCTCCTGTAGCGCGTGCCTACAGGGTATCCTGTAACCTTAACAACTTTATCGGTACTCTTAAGATAAGAATTATAATATTCATGAAATATTACAAGGCCCTAAAAGGAAAGATGCGAACGAGTCGATATCTCCCATGCAACGCATCTCCCGTACAATTAGTACTAGAAAGTTTATACCGTAAACCTCCGAATATCAGGCCTGGGCTAATATTCGTTCGTAAGCATTTTTTGATGGGCTTATACAAGGGGCTTATATACGGGGGGGCTTACACAGCTAATTCAAAAAGGTTGTCCTTCCAAACTCTAAACATTAAACCGCGAAAATCTCCATCGTAAATCTTGGCTGTATACACAAGGATTGTGACAATCAAGTATTTCTGACTAAATATGGCAAACACTGCGTGTTCCCATTGCCCTTTTCGCGCTTAGAGTTTAAGGTTAAAGGTTTAAGTTTAGAGATTCGAAAAACAACCTTTCTTGAATTAGCTGTATACGGGGGGCTTACAGGGGGTTGCCAAGAAAAAGGAGCCTCCCCTTTCCGAAACTAAAATAGACAAATATCATAATTCTTATTTTTTATTAGATAATGACAGGATAACACTCTGACTTGCTCGAATATCCTTAATACTGTCCTTATAGCACACAAAAGTTAATAGGCAATCCGTGACTGTTGATAATTTTTAGACAACATCTTGGAATACTCTTTACAAGATTATGAGGGTAATCGTTGCTGAGATTCTCCCATGTCTGCTTCAAACACTCAAACAGTTGTTTCCCACTTCGGCATGTACGTTTATTCAGTTGTCTGCCAAGCACTGTCCACAAATTTTTTATTGAATTCAAGTCTAGGCTTTGTGGTGGCACATCAATTTGTTGATATCTGAGGTAATTTTGCACAACATGAGCTGTGTGTTTTGGATCATTGTCATGTTGAAAAATGAAGTTATCTGCATGAAGTCGTCGGGCTGAAGGTCTCATTTGATGAATTAATATTTGTAGAGACATCTTCCTTTGGTTAATATTCCTTTTAATTGATGAAATGCTCCAACTCCCTTCCACGAGAAACATCCCCATATATCATAATTTTTTTCTAGTGCTTTAAAGTTCCTTGCGAACATTGAGTTGAATACTGATTGCTTTCGAAGACGCCAGACATAAGATCGATTTTGGCAGTAGATTCTTTTCGTCTCCGCCCCTTTTTGCCATTTTCCCGCGCGTTCAATCTTAGTCCGGGAAACAATAAAACGAAGGAAAATAGAGGGATTGCTCGCAGTCTATTTTGGCAGTGGAGGACATACGGTGATTCGTCAAACCAGGCGACCTTCTTCCATTGATCAACCACTTCCATTCACCATTGAAGTCAGAAACAATTGATTAAGTGTTTGAATCAGACATGGGAAAATCTCAGCAACAATTACCTTCATAATCTTGTAGAGAGTATTCCAAGGCGCTGTCGAAAAGTTATCAACAGCCGCGGATATCCTATTGCATGCCTATTAACTTTTGCGTGCTTAGTATTAAGGATATTCGAGCAAGTCAGAGTGTGTTTCCTGTCATTACCTAACAAAAAAATAAGAATTATGATGTTTATTTGTCTATTCTAGTTTCGGTAAGGGGGGGGGGCTCCCTTTTTTGGCAACCCCCTGTATATATACGGACGAAAACGGACGATATTTGGTGTTATAATATTTATTGTACCTGTTAAATGTTGTGAACGAAAAGAAATATAAACATACAGTATGTAACACATAAAAAATCAAGTTGGTCAACATATTATAATACTGTAATGCAATTATCATCACTCGTCTGAGCTGTTGCTCAATAATAAGCCCATGGGCTTATACACGAAGGGGCTTATATTCGGAGCTTTACGGTATAAAACATGCCAACACCTAAATAGAATATTATAATACTGTAGTTAATAAATAACAAAAATAGAACACTCAAAAAGAAGCGAATGCTGAATAATATAGAACATTAAAATCAAATATTAAATTTGAATTCAAATCAAATTAAAATCAACTCAAATCAAAATAGAGACAATGTCAATGACTTGTTACGAATACATCATCACTCGCCTTTATTTGAACGCTTTATATCAAAGTTTACTTGATTACCTATGACAATAGCATCCACGCACAAGAGTCCACGTCCAATTTAAATAAGTCCTTAATTCATAAACTTTTTGAACAGCGATAAACTTAAAAGGCTATTCGGAGGAGCAGCGAGAATGATGTGGTTCCAAAGCTTGATGATGATGACTTGAAATATGATGACTGCAACGTGCTGGTTCGACAGTATGGTGTTTTTAGCGTTCTCACTTCACTCGTACACCGCGAGTAACAAAAGAAACAAAGTTGAAATATCCATATCAATGTGTCCATACAAACCCTTATTAAAGAAAAGCAAGTCGTTTCATTTGCTTTCATAACATAGCGGTAGACGGTATAAAGTCACAAGTCCATCCTTGTACGATTGTTGTCCTTTTCTTTGCTACAGCGTTCATCCCGTCGCTCCTCTTTGTATACATTCTCAATTTTCAATTTGACGTCTTACTCTTGTGTCATGAATCAAAAGACGAGTTCTAAGTTGAAGACCAAGCATTTTGTTGGCTTTACACACAACGGCTAGAACCTGCCGGTCCCGAGTAAGTTGCGTGTTATTAGAACGTCGACATCTTTTTCTTTTCGGACATCAGCAAATGTCTCATCTTCAAGGTGATACTCAAAACCAACTGGACTTAATTTTCTGCTCACTGACAGAATTTTTCATTTCGATGCATGCGTTAAGGATCATATTGTTTTCCTGGCTCCAGGTGTTGAGACTGTCGAGAAATTGTTGGAAAGTTTCACAGCTTTGGATGCTCGAATTGCTCCAAACTTGTTCGAAATATTCTTTCAATAAGCGAGGATGAATTCCGTCTGGCCCATGCGACTTGGTTACATCTACACTATGCGAATAATTTGTAATTTCTTCCTTACTGTAATGTTAGATAACTCTGAGTCGCTTGGAAGTGGAAACATGTAATCGTCATCTTCCAAGGTATTTCTCGATTTTCGAAAAACAGATACAAAGTAAGAATTAAAAAGTTCTGCTTTTTAACGCGCTGTTTTGCCAGTTACCGTTGTATGTCATGTAAATCATAGTTTTGTGATAGCTCCCAAATACTTTAGCCTTGTTATAGTACAATAATTCAATGTCTTTTAGACATTCGCGGTGCTTCTGTCTGCTTAAATTCTGAACTTTTTGACTGATAGTATGCAGGTTTTCTTTCCACGATTTACACTTATTCAAACGATATTTCTTTCTACAGAATATCGAAAATTCCTTCTAAGTTGTAAATCGTCTTTAAAATTGTAAGTTATATTTACAGCATTTACATCACGTAATGCGACCTTTCAAAGTCCCATTGGAACTGGATCTAGCCACAAGAGAAGAAAAGTTCCAGCCGTATGTTGCAGCCACAAGCTAAACTAACCAGTATATAATAAATAATTACGCTATGTCTCATGCCAGCCAGGTAGTATATTTAATAGTCAAAGGCTGTTCTTCAAAACGTCGACCAAAAGAAAGTGAATATCAAGTTCCCAATGATATTTTTGTGGTTACTACAACGCGACCTTCAACTTTTTAAGTTAGATTGGAGGTACACTATTTCCTCGTGATGTTAATTTTCCTGTCACGGCCATACTTTTGTAATTTGATTACTCTTGGGAAAGTCAGATGGACTGAATGTTTCCATTCTTGAAACGTTCGAGTAGTCAGTCTTTCACCTGGCGGTACTAAATATTATATGGTTTCACCAGTTTTGAAATTCAGCAAACTCATTCGTGAATAGTCGAAGCTGGCCGTTGTCTTCACAAAGGCAGTGAAAGAAAAGCTTTTTCTCATAATCGCGCGATCTACATAGCACACCAAACTCGTTTAGAAGTTGTGGAATAACTCTGGAATAACATTGCGCGCTATATTCACGGTTACGGTCGTACAGAACGATAGGGCACGTCTCCTGGGTCGGAAGTTGACCTGCATTGTGCACTTTTACAACAAACCTCAGATCATCTCCCGGTGAGGAAGCGAGCTTTGGACGAACTTCTTCTGGACCTAAATATTCTTCCGAATCGTCATCTTCTTCTGAACTGTCATCTGCTTCTGGACTAAAATATTTTTCTGGATCGTCAACGTCCATGTCCCTCTTGTCAGCCTCTTGCATGGAAGTGATCAAATAGCTTGACTTCTCACGTAAAACTTTGCAAACTTCCTTATGCTTCGAATAATGTTGTTTTTGGCAAGATTCGCTGCAATACGCAGTGGTAAAGCACTTTTCGCACATTGTCAGTTTGCACTTCACACGACAATACGAGCAATATGGGACGGACAAATTCAACTCACAATCATTTTTATTTCCTTTGTTATGGTGCATTTCGTTATTCTCGATTTCGGCAGATTGAAAATTGGGAGACTTCAAATACCACGATTCTGCAACGGTAATAATTTCATCATTCACCAGAAGCCCTGGACCACCATTACGATAAATTTTATTCAGATTGACGACAAGTGAAGGAAATCCTTCAGGATTACATAGTAGAGAAACTCCCCCTCTTTTGTTGCGAAAAATTTTATTCATCAATATAGAGCATGATGGATTGTACTCGCTCAAAATTCCCCGGCTGCCGTTATCAGACAACTTGTTCTCTTTGACATTCACAAAAGACTTTTCTACACGTATTCCATCCCCATTATTGTGATAAACATTATTGCCTTTCAGTGTCACATTTTCTGACCCGTAGACATTAATCCCCTCCTGACCATTGTCGTGAATATCACAATTAACTGCAACGCACTCTGATTGAAAAACAACCAACCCCTCACGGGCATTATTATATATGCGACTGTTTTGAATTTCCAACGTCCCTCCTTTCTCCACACGTATCCCAACTCCCGCGTTATAAAACGAACAATCTTGAACAATTGCACGACTTTCTTTACTACATACCAGTGGACTACTTGCAAAACTGCATTGTTCTGCATCGAACACCCCCCTAGTTTTAATAAGTCCAGAAAAGTTACAGTTAAGGATCTTGACGAACGAATCAGGTAAACAATGCAAACGATTTTCATTAAAACTGAATGACAAATTTGTAAGCATGCATTTCAACACGGAAATGTCACAGTTTGACTTCAAAGAAACTGAACAATTTTTTCTTGTACCAACTAGAATACAGTTGTTCCAAGGTTTGCCAACGGTTTCAGAATAATCTAGGATATATTCTTCTGATCCCAAAACCAAAATATTCAACAAACCCGTTTCTAGTTCCTGCGAAGACATCGTATCTAACAGTTCATCCACACTATCGCATATAAAAATGCGGCTTTGCAAGTCCGGAAAAGATTCCACGAAAATAGGGAAATCAGTAAAAATACCCCTATTGTGATAAAAAGCCAAAGCGGCTGCTATTTCAGCACTGGCTTTATCATTCAGGTCGGCACTGATCGCCTTATTCAAGCCATCAAGTACCACAGCTTTCAAAGCATAACCCCTCCAGCAATATGGACGGCGCGTTATGTAATCATTCGCATCTTTTAAAGCATTTTCGCATTGCTCCAATTTTATGTAACGGTGAGTAACCAACAAGGGGTCGAAAGGTTTATTGCAGTCTTGAGCCATATTTATTGTAGAAGAATACGCATCTAATGCTTTTTTGAAGAAACCTTCTTTAAAAGCCTTGTTTCCATCCAATTCAAATTTGTCAATCTTCTTATTTAAACCAAGGTCACTAGCATCAGAAGCAAGGTCACTAACATCAGGAGCAAGGTCACTACTATCAGCAGCAAGGTCACTAGCATCAAGGGCAACGTCACTAGGTTCAGGAGCAAGGTCACTAGCCTCAAGAGCAAGTTTTTCAGTAAGAGGTTCAGGTAAAATAAACGTTGGTACGCAAAATTGTTGAATCATCCTCTGAAATAGTTCCGGTAAAGGGATTGGAAGTGGAAAGAGGAAATCATCATAAACATTCTTCTCAACCGTTTCATACCCTGCTAAAGGCAGCCAGTCTAATATACGATAAGCAAAGTTCAAAGTGCGCTTTGCTTCTTCCTGCTGGTGATTTGCACTCAAATGAACAGCACATTCGTAAAGAATTTTAGCTGTTTCAGGAAACCACACCGAGTCTAGACAAGCAGAGTCAAGACTTGGCAACAAATCTTCGACATTTCTACGAAGACGATGGCCATGTATACAAAACTTAGACCACATATAAAAGTGAGAAGGACTATTTGGTAAACCAGAGAAAGATATGTCTTGTTCTTCGCCATTCCTTTCATCTAAACTAACGTGATTACTGGGTGATGGACATTTAGAGAATGCAAAAGAAAGCATCCGCACAGCATCAATGAAACTCTCTGCTTTCGATTTAGGATCAAGATTTTCCCACACTAGTTCCTGAACCAAACGATGCGTGGTGACACAGCCCGCTTCGACATGGGTGAAAAGTGAAAAATCAGTCACCAATTTTAGAACCTGACGGGAACCTAATGGCGACGACACACATTTACGATACGCGACGTCTTTCACTTCGGGTGCTCCAACGTTGACCAATTCTTTCTGGATCTCATTTTCATCGAAAAATGAACAAGCATTCATAAATCGAACAGCAGCCTGACCATTCGTGCTCTTCTCAATATACTCTATATTGATACGCCATGTCGTGTGAACGGCGAGACGATGAGATGACTCGTTACCAGGTGAGACAGGACGTGCCGCCTGTAGACTCAACAGTTGCAAGCGTTGAGCCTCATATTGCTCAAGGTATGAAGACAAACTGCAACCCAGCATTTGAATATATGCTCCTGCTTGTTCCAAAGCAAGTGGCAGTCTCCCCAGCTTTTCACAAAGACATTCTGCGACACTTTCAGCATTTTCATTTTCATCACGTGTTACCTTAGTTCTTGAAAAAAGAAATTGCTTCGCGTGTTCAGACTGCAAACATTCGAGTTGAAGACAAAACTTCTCCTCAAAAACTGAAATGTCATTAACAAGTCGTTTCGGGTTTCGTCTTGTGAGCACGATAAAATGCCCAAAGAAATTCTCTTTTGAAGGAAAGGAAAGGAATTCCAGCATATTAGACGTAAGATCCAGTTGATCCAAGCAGTCGAGGACTATCAAACATGGGTCATGTACGGTGCTAATTTTTCTCAGGATATTTGGCAAAGTTAATTCAAATGTATTGAGTAATGCACCAATCTTTACTGCGACGGCGTTCACTGTTTTGCTAAGATGCGCATCATCTTCAGCAGAGAACCAAAAAACACCACCCTTGTAAAATTCCTTCATCTGATGAGCATACTCGGAAACTAAGCTTGTTTTCCCAATTCCACCCAAACCACATACTGCTGTAACGCGAACTTTCTTTTCGCTCAACGTTTCCTCAACCTCCAAAATACGTTTAAGCTTCTGGATTTCTTCTGTTCGACCAGCAAAATAACCATTTCGTGGAGGTGCTGTGAAAACATAGGGAATTTTCTCCTCTTCTTTAACGTGATATCTGGACAGTTCATTGGTACGCTTCACTTTTTTAGCAATGTCATCTATCTGAGTCGCATGTCTTTTCAGTGTCAACGAATTGGTAGTTCCCTGTATCTCGGCTTTTTCCGTTCTTGTGCGTAGATCGTCTATTTCCTTGCCCAAGTTTCTGTGCATCTCATCCAATTTCACAACTAGCTTAGACATCTGTAAAACCAAAAATATTCAAACTATTTTACGTACATCAAGTGTTGCTATATTGAATATATTTAGATAAGGTACCTTCGTACAACTGTATTTCCCTATTGGTAAAACTTCCATTAACAAGTGTAGGTTTTAGTTTAAAGCAGCAAATTTCGAGAATCTTTCTCTCTGCAAGATAATACTTTTATACGAAAACGTATACTAAATCTACTTTTGCGAGAAGTGTGGAAAGGATTTTGATGGAAGACCATGTCCAGCATAAGGCAGTATTTTGTTGTTTATGCCACAAACTGTCATTGTGTCAAGTTCGCTGTTTTTATCTAGACACCCACAATTGTTTCATAAATCGATCGGACTATGTTCTTATCTAGCTAATTCTGCCATATAGTCCAACGATTTACAGCAAACCTATGGACATTTTAGAATGTAACTTTTTAAAATTTTCCTCTAATAACAATTTTGTTGTTCTCTTTGCATGAATTTCACCCTGACATTGCAGGAAATGGCCATTCCGGACCTCTAAATTTCAAATATTTCTGGGGCAGCTTGCCCCGAACCACCCCAGGTTGTGCGGGTCTTAGAACATGAATACTTAAATTTCCTCAGCCTCGCCACTGACTTACTGATGAAAACACCACACTGAATTTAAAACACTACTTCCGGGAAACGTAAAATTTCGCTACGTCCCTGGGTATAAGTGAAGTGTCTGTGCCAGTGTAGGTCGTGCCAATAATAATAAAGCTTTCGTTGGTAGGGAAGAAACTAGCTGAGAAATATAAGGAGAAATTCGAGGGCAACTAATTCCACGACGAAGGGCCTTCGCATCGATATTTTTCACGTAGTTGCATCCCTATCAACGAAAGCTGGGTATACTGTAGGTGACGCACCATTTCCTTAATTAAACTTCAGTTGCGTGATTATTTTTTGGAGGTGGTAATAAAAATATTTCCCAGACTCTCAGCGGACAACTATACAACGTAAAATGAAAGAATTCGCAAACCTTTTCGTCGTTTAAACTCCATGTCTTGACCGCTTCACGAAGTTCATCTACTTCACTTCTAAGTAAATTTAAGATTTGATTGTCGACAGCTTGACCAAAACACAATTGGAACCCTGAAATAAAGTGGAAATACTTGTAGTTATGAAAATCGCGTACTGTAAAACACGTGCAGAATGTAAACTTCCTGTATTTACATTACTTTATTAAAATTGTCGTACAATCCTTTCAATTTCTATAAATTATTTTATTATAAATTGTATCCAGTAAATATATCTGTTTACAGTGATGATGATATATCAGTTTACAGTGACCAAGTACTGAGCGCAATCTTTTGGATTTGTACTTCTATTAAATTATAGGTGTGTAACTCTGGGTGTGTAACAACTTGTTAGTTTTTACAGCGGATTTTAATTCACTAATTCTTTTACGCGGTTGTTACCGTTAGTACAAAATTAACTCTCAAAGTGGCAATGCGACCCATTGCGCCCCGCTTTATTATCTTACTCTGCTTAAAACTAGACTTTACTCTTGAACTAAAGATGATTGCTTAGCTTTTAATTTACTTGAAATACGACAGAATTGACAGCACGTTTTTTACAATTGACATAAAAGTATCAAAGAAAAAATTTAAAACAAACAATAATCATTAGCATTGTCGGAAATTGCCTTACGCTAGGTGTTATCGTGTACTGTTCATCTAGATCCCATTATACAAACTGCGTCATTATAGTTAATTGAACTCATATAATCTTTATTTGTTGTGTTAAAAGATAAGGGATTGTGCATGTTTTCTATTTTGTGAGATTGTGAGCCAAGAAAGCGAGAGCTTGATCCTTGTAAAATAAAATTGTATGTTTATTACTAAACTGCGAGTGAATTTGTGATCTTGTGGGATCGTATTGAACGGGATCAAACCTGCCGTTCCCCACAGCATGTCCATCCCTCTTTATTCATTTTTTATGTACACTTCTAATAGGAAAATGCGCTTTCTTTCTTCAAACTTGAACAAAGATGTTATTGTTATCTGTGGTGGCCAACTCAGTTAGCTTTCAACCAGTGGTGGACACCTTGCCGCACGTTAGGGATGTACATTTAGGCTGCCAACTCTTTTGCTGCTACTAATTTCAACCTACATACTGTGGCTTTGAGTCTTTCAAAGAAACTTATCCATTAAGTGGCAGCAATCTCCCCATGACGAACAAAACCGTCTGGCGTTCGACAGGGTCAAATAATAAAGTAGGGTGCATCAGGGCGCATTACCACATAAAGGGTTAACAGGGTGCATAAGCACATAGTCTGAGTAACCCATTGAGTGGCAGTATTCTGCCTTTGACGACCTGGGGCCGGTTGTACGAAGGTCGGATAGCGCTATCCACCGGATAGTGATTTTTTCAACCTTTGTAAAATGCTTGTAAAACTGTGAAACTGCGGATATAGACGAGACAAGAAGTATAAAAAACATTTAACTTATAAAAAAATTAACTTACTACGAAAATATCACTATCCGGTGGATAGCACTATTCGGCCTTCGTACAACCGGCCCCTGGCGTTAAAAGGAGTAGAATACTAAACTAGGGCGCATCAGAGCGCATTGCCGCTTGAAGGGTTGAAGAAAGTATTGGGGGATTAGCTGAGTATGTTCCACCCTAATTTCCTTTCACCACTCAGTCGTGGCAATCTCAGACATGAGGCGAAAATATGGCTGGATTGCTGTAATTCCGGTCCTACACTAGAAATACATGCATGCAGAACCTGTTGCCTTGCTAACCAAACCACTATATTTTTCAAGCACGAAGTGTCAACAGCAGCAGTAGTCGTCATGGTAACACGATCATTTTTATATTTTCTGTGCAAAATTGTATTAACAATTAAAAGACTATTACTTCTAATTACAAAATCATCAATTTCCAAAATGTATAATATGTTATTACGCGTATAAGCTGAAATTTAAATTTTAATTAATTAAATTAATTCAGGCTTAGATGTTTTGTAAAACGTTTTGAAATGTTCATCAAACTGAACTGCGTTTTATTGGTAAACTTTAAGTTTGAACTAACACTCAGTTCAAGTTATGATTCTCTCAATCTCTCATTCATAAAAATAATTACTATATACAGTACGAACTATTTAAGGTTTTTAATAATATACTAATAAAAATAGGGTATTAATGAAAATACACTGAATAGTGACTACGCTATATATTGTTTTTCAGTAAAGTAAAAATTCAATATATTAATATGTAAAACAAACTTTGCTGGTGTTTTACGATTTTCTGCAATATATTTCCCCTAATCCTTTGTTTTGAAGCGAAAACAAATATAGTGTTTAGCTGCTCGTCCCTTTTAGCAATTCTTGGGCCTTGACCGGATTGATGGTCTTTTTCAAATTCAATATATCGCCATACTTTTTACTTTAGTGGAAGATCCACCCACGAAACCTTGGATCATAGCCATGCGTCTGCGATTATTGATGGACTTTTCACTCCACTTTTTTCGCGGTTTTGCAAAAAATGTATTTTAAAAATGTTGTGAAAGATTTAAGCATTCAAAACTTTTGAAGAATGGCAATGTATCAACTGTTGTGGAATATAGTGATCTCCGACGAGTGGGTATTAAAGCTGGTGCTGGGAGCTAACTCCGAGTGACGAACCATACTGGACAATTAGACGAAAACTCTATTTGGCCCGGCTGAGAATCGAACCCACGACCTTCGGTTTACTAGTCCGATGCTCTACCGACTGAGGCGAGGTACTGGTCAAGTTGGGAACAGGTTGTTGAAAGATTGTATTCTAAGGGTTTTTGATATTTCGAAACTCCCGACACCATCTTAATACCCACATGAGTAAATGTCTCGATATCGAAGAAACTAAACCCAGTTTTGAAATATCAAACACCCTTGAAATGACCTGTAACTCAGTCGGCAGAGTATCGGACTAGTAAACCAATGGTCGTGAGTTCGAATCCCAGCCGAGCCATTGGTACTGCAGTTTTCTCTACTTGTCCGGTATGGTACGACACTTGGAGTAGCTCCCAACACCACCTTAATAATGGACAACTTTCATGTTAGACTAAATTTTAATCTAAGTAAAGAAAGGGAATCAAACACCACAGCTAAAAAGAACATAATGAAATTATGATTTGCTTTGTTGGTGTTGTGCACTCAGGTGAATATGATGTTTGTGATGTTACTCTGAGTGTATATCCACACCGGGCAAGCTTGAAAAACATGCCTGGCCACGGTGGGAATCGAACCTACGACCTTTGGAATACTAGCCCAACGCTCTTCCAACTGAGCTAGCTACGCGGTCAGGTCGGTTCGAGTATGTGATATTTCAGAACTGAGTCTAGTTCCATCGATATCAATGTAATTTAACAATCATGATCATAATCAATGTAATCTAATAATCATGATTATAATCAATGTAATCAAATAATCAATTATTAGATTACATTGATATTGATGAAATTAATTTACTAGACTCAGTTCTGACATATCACATACTCGAACCGACCTGACCACGTAGCTCAGTTGGCAGAGCATTGGGCTAGTATTCCAAAGGTCGTAGGTTTGCCCGGTGTGGATATAAACTCAGAGTAACATCGCAAACATCATAATGAAATTAGTAAAATTGCAAAATTTGGTTGCGAAATGATATAAATCTTGCAAAATGTAGCCTTGCATGCAAAGTTTGCAAATTTTGTATATGTTTGTATGGGCTCAAAATGGTAACGTTTCCGCACGTAATACAAACATATACAAAATATGCAAACTTCGCAAGGCTATACAGTATTTTCCGTATCTTACAACATTTCGTAACCAAATTTTGCAATCTTACTAATTTTAATTAGTTCTTTACGGAAATTTACTTTTTTTGGCCTGGATCAAAAATTAGTACATGTTTCCGTCCGAATCCTTGTAGAATGCTGAGAAACTGCTGCCTCGTCCTCAGGTACTATACAGTATAACAAATATATGAAGCATTCTGGAGGTGCTTACAAGCGCGCAAAGAGCAATGGGTGTATGTAAACAAATTGTGACTATAAACGCCATGAAAATAATTCATGTAAACATTTTGTATTGCGCCTGTGGACGAGTGAGGCTGTGAAAATTGAGAAGCATCATTTGATCAGTCAGATTCACAATGGATAATATATTTTACTCTGCTTTGGTAAACTATTCAAAAGCAAATCTGGGATGCTGAATCCAAAGTTGAATGCTCGAGACAAATGTTATAGTATCCACTTGGATACAGTCCGAAATACTCAACATCTACTGTAGAATACTCCCATGTCTGTGGGCATAAAATTTCATTACCTTTACTTTTCCAGCTGTTGAGTTCATCACACAATTTCTGTTCATCATTAGGTGACAAATTCACATTCTTCAGTAAAGTTTCCATATTTTGAAAAGCATCAAAAAAATTTGGTTCCGTCCATTCTGCAAAGTTGCAATGTGCCCACTCGTTTCTGATATCTGATCGAACTGTCTTTGCATGAGCAGCAGCTCCTACAAATGGGGCAGCTTCACAAATCACTGATAAGACTGCAGATGTATCCATTGTTACGTCAAAGCCAGTGAACTTGGACATGAATGGTTTAACAAACAACTTTGCCAAAGACAATGGATCCTTAACTGCATAATCAAATGCACTAGGTGATCTAAGGGCATCATTGTTGTTGATACTTTTATAGTTGAGGTTCAAAGTTGACGGGTGTAACTTTTTCTGGTGTCCAACAGAAACTTGTTTGTCGATTTCGGTCGGTGGTTGACATAAAACTTGATGCCACTTTGGCATTTCGGTTGCAAGAACATTTCTCAATGCAGGAGTGAGCACTTTGGTCAAACATACACCAATGACAACCCATCTTCGTTCTTCGTTTGATATGGGGGTTGTACTGGAGGCGCTGGCCATTACTGATCTACAAGATTAAACTTAAAGTTCAGAATGATACTTTCATGTCAAACTTGCACTGGGATTGTGTAGATGTGAAGGTTCTGGCAAGGCTGGATTTTGGTGGAAATGATGGGAGAGGTGGAAAAAAATTCAGACCTAGGCGCAGTGCCGTCGGAAGCGTTTTTTTATTTGGGGGGGGGGGGGTGAAAACGAGGGCCAAAGGCCCGAGTTGAACGCCGCAGGCGCGAGGCTCGAAAGGGGAAATTTTAAATTTAAAGTCTCTCAAATGCCATTTCCTGGACTTTGGGGGAAGATTTGACAAAATTTTGATAGTCAGAAAACAGCGTTATAACATGTCAAAATTTACAATTTAGTAGTACTACTGTAAATGGGCGAAGGCGTATTTAATTAACTATATATTGGATAAGTTGCAGGAAAGTATGGAAATATCTTCATTCTTTGCAGTTTGGCATGGATAATGTCGACGCTTAAAATTAATCAATTGTCACTATTTTAAAGGTATTATTTAAATGATAAAGACCTGCATGATTTTGAAAAAAGAGTGATTAGTAGCAAATTATTGGGGGGAGCTGCAGCCCCCGGTTGCAACGGCCCTGAGGCATCTTAAGTTCCACAGCCCCCATGGCATTTTAGCGCTTTGAACCTATACCCCCTTAAAGTTTTTTTCTTTCATGACATTACCACAGAGTTTCTTTTGAAACATTGCATTAAAAGAAGTACTTGACACAGAGATGAATGGCTCTCATGTTTTCAATTCAGTGTCAACCCTAAGCAACGCATAAAAATTAGTCAAATTTTCACTTTGATCCACAGTTTAACCTTTCCCAAGGAGAGGTGTATTACTTTTCAGGGAATGTGCAAAACCAGGGGCCGTGGAAGCGGGGAAGGCAATGTGCGAAGACTTCACACTTTTTTAAAAGTGGAAAAAGTGCCCTTTTTTCTGCGCTGAAGTGCCCCATTTAAATTTGCCGGACTTTTATAATGATTACTTCAAACAAAATAACGAACTACACAACTATAATACTCGAAATTCTACCAAGTTACATGTGAGCTATAAGAGAACAAACTATCGCAAATACACTGTATTTAACAAAGGAGTTTCTATATGGAATTGCCTTGATGAAGAAGTTAAAAATATTAAATCATATTTTTCTTTTAAGAAAACTGCAAAATCTTATTACTTGATGTCTAGTTGACGTAAATATTTCAGGAATATTAATGACAGTATTCTGTAATGTACTAAATATTCCTTAAACATTTTCCATATTTGTTTGTAAATACTTTGTGTTTTTCATTGCAAATTGTCCTTATGTACATAATCTATTTTTATATTACTGAACACTAAAACTATAGGGGCCTCGTCTTAAAAGTCCAACAGGATTTCCAGAGGTCTCTAGCCCGTTTATATATTCTTAAATATTCAACTTGTAAATATTATTTGTGGGTAAATAAAATCTATTTTAATCTATTTCATTATTAAAGAATAAATAAAGTATTTCTTGAATGAACGCCCTCTTCTGCTGGAAAGAAAGTGCCCTTTTTGCAGTAGTAACGGCCTTGTAATGGCCATTTCCGACGTTATAGAGACTCCATATTTTCAAAAATTTCCGTTCGGCTCGTGAACGATATAAAATCGTTTGATTTTGGGCATATACAAAAGTGCCCCTTTTGGCCAATGCCCCTCCACTTTCGAAATGCTTCCGCGGCCTCTGTGCAAAACCATCTCAGGGGAGGTAGGCACCTCCCAACAAATTCCTTCCCCTAGAAGGCCCACGCTTTTCGTACTCTGATTCAATAAAATCTCACGCAGGTATGCAGATGAACCTAATTTACCTCACTACTTCACTGAAAACGTCACTATAATTTTTAAGGTCTGTTTACAGTATGCTCAATTATGGAACAACCGAACCATTTTTATCCATGCTCGGCCTTTGTAAAAACTTTAAGGTAGTGCGAGGCTCCGCCAATTAAGTATAGATAATAAAATGTTACATAGCCTTAATTGACCTTGAGATTTCACCCGATAGTTTGTGTCCCACCATAAATGCCGACTGAATATTGATGTTACTGTTTGACAGAAATCCATGGATTTGAGTGTTTAACCAAAAAATCTGACAATGTTTCTAGTTAACCCTTTGAGCCTCAAGGCGCCCCAGTGCGCCCTACTTATTTTTTTTACTAGTATAACGCCAAACGATTTTACTCATCAATGGGGAAGCTCTGCACCTTAATGGATTAATTGTAAATAGGTCAGTTACAGGGTGAAATCAGGGTGCTTATATACAGTTGGTGGGTGCTTATTTGACTTGGGCTCGGATTTGACCCAGACTCGGAATTGACTCCGTTAACCAACAAAGTCGGCCTCTTTCAAATCAGATCTTGGCAACCGGGCCAGCCTGTTTGTCAATTTACACTAAGAATGGATTTGTTTCGAACTGGGGGCTGTTTATGAGAGCTTGGCTGGCCTGCTTATAATTAGTGAGACAGCCTGGTAAGCGGGATGAATTTCTCTTGTGTATATTATGTGAGAAAATTTCATTCTGTTTGTAGGGACAATTTTGTTGTTTTGACAGTTGTTAAAAATAGTTTGCAGAGACATCTTTGAACTTTTGTGCCGGCAACCACTCCAGCCCACTTGTGACTGTTTATGTGAACAACGTTTCGTCCGTAAACAAGATCTCGCCTCTTTCAAATAAGATCTGGGCAACCGGGCCAGCCCATTTGTCCATATAAGCAAAAAAAAAACTGTGTCACTAACCAGGATAGCCCATCTTCCACATAAACAGCCCTTATAACTTTAACAGTGGTGTCAAGTAGTACTATTTTTGAGAAGTCAGCATGTAACAAAGTAAACTTTTTCTAGTAAGAGTACTTTTACTTTGAACGAAGTCGTTTTAAGAGGTAACGCTTTACTTTGTTATTTTCATTTTGTGGCAAAGTATTTCGTTATTTTCTAACTTTTGTTTAATTTTACATAATTTATTCCCGATTTATTTTAATTTTGGGATAGTCTGGTAATAGGACCCCTACATGCATCTGGGATCTCTCGTTTGTGGCTAATACTAAATAAGCATTATTTATTTAATGGATTTCTTATATCTTCAACAGGGTCTGCAAATTATGCCATGAAATATTGTATATTTATAATGTGTGTGCTGTTTTGTGTTTTTTGTATCTCAATCCATCAATGGATAAGTCCCCCCCCCCCCTTACACTCCACAGACAACAGTACTTTTACTTTGTACTTCAAGTATTTTTAAGGATACTTTGTACTTTTTAATTAAGTACGATTTGCCTCCAGTACTTTTTACTGTTACAGTTATTAAGTTGTTTTATTGTTAATTACTTCTACTTTTACTCGAGTACAAATTCAAAGTAATTTAGGCACCACTGAACCTTAAGGCATAAGGTGGTCTAAAGTAATCTAAGGTTGTGTAAGTAAAGGCCAATTTAGACTACACAATTTTTGCCTAAACTATTGAATGCAACCTGCAGGACCGTAGCTATATTAGGGGGTGACTGGGCCGTGTAACACCCTCCTGAAAATGTCTTTTCCGCAGAATAACCGTTTTATCGGCAAATAGTTTTCGTAATCAGCAAAAAATATTTGAGTGCCTAAGTAATAGTATAGCAAAAATTTTGATAATTAAATTTAGAAACAGTGGCGTAATTACTATGGGCTCAGACCGGGAGAACCCGGGGGCCCCCAACCCCAATGGGCCAAATGGGGGCCCCCAGGCTTAGGCGATAGAGCAAAAACATTGGCCAGGGCCTCTGATATGTTACAATGTTATTTTCTGACCATCAGAATTCTGTAAAATCTCTCCCCAAAGTCCAGGAAATGGCATTTCAGAGAGTCTAGATTAAAAAATTTTCCGGATGAGAATGTCCTGGACCCCGTAGAAAACTTTGTGCATATACGGCGCTCAACTCGTGCCTTTGGCACTTCTACTAGGGGGCCTTCGAAAATTTTGAACCGGGGGCCCCCTGATATAACGTTACGCCACTGTTTAGAAATTACGGTACATGAATTGGAAAGTTGAACAATGGTATCTCCGGAAAATCCCCCGAAACATTTTTGGGGAAAAGATATTAATTAGCGGCTGAAATGTTATCGGCAAAACTACAAACTCCCCCCCCTGCTTTAACCTTTTCGCTACGGAACCCGATTACAACTTGAATTGTACTGTGTAAATCAAGTATACAACTCAGTGAACTCACCTACACTAGTGAGTCACGTAAAAATCTCACATCTTGTAGCAAGTCTGCCAACAAGCCGTCAACAAGTTGTGTTCGCACTACTTGTCCCAAGTTATCAACAAGTTTGGAAAAATATGATAACAACTCCTAACAACCTTGTTGATACTATCAGACTTGTTGCACGGTTTCCAGCAAGTCCGATACAGTCATGACATAACAATATTGCTACAACCTTGTGGCATCAACCTTGTAACAATTTCTTGTTATATTATGATTGTATCAGACTTGTTAGAACAACCTTGTAACAAGTCTGATAATGCCATCAAGCTTGTTAATCCAAATTGTTAACAGCTTGTTCCAAACTTGTTACAACAACTGGGAACAAGCAGTGCAAACACAAATTGTTGACAGCTTGTGAACAGATTTGTAACAACTTGTTTGCAGACCTGTAACAACTTGTGCGTTCTTATGTGTGTATATATAGCATTTATAGGACATCTATATATATAGACGAGTTGTATGTTGATTTTAATAAATTTAATTACAATATACAGTACAAGTTGTAAGGAAGTTGCATGCGACAGTTTTAAGCAAACATTGTGTATTCTAAATCAGCCTTAAGATAGTCTAATGTACCCTACGGTAGTCTAAGGTATAAGTTATGCCATTGTGTAAAAAGTATTGTATGCATATTACGGTTGCAAAATATTACCGAGAATTTAAGAGACAGTATTTAAAATGTTTTGTATCGTCGCTGATTAGTTATAAGCTAACAAATGAACGCGTGCAGATACAAAATGCATACTTCAATGCAAAATATTCATATATTCAATCAATAACAGCATTATTAAAAGATGCAACTGCCTTGAACTTCGACGTTTGGCGCCATCGAGGTTTGGCGAAGGCCAGTGGTTGCTTCTTATATAAACAAACATATTTCATACTTTTGCTTTACATTATCAAGAAAATTTGATACATACCTGTGCAAAGAACAACAAAAATTATTCCCATATCTTCGAAAATGTTTAATTAAACAATCAGGAACGAATAAATGTTATAAATTGTGCATAAAATACTCTGGGTTTCACTTTATACAAGACGTTTTCTGCCAATCTCAAAATCTGTCCTCAACTTCCGGATTCGGTCAATGCTCATGGTTTGGTCACGTGTGAGTCACGGACTCAAGGGGTACACACGTAAAAATCTCACAACTTGTCAACAACACATGTAACGCACAAATTGTTACAAGTCTGTAAACAAGTTGTTACAAGTCTGTAAACAAGTTGTTACAAGTCTGTAAACAAGTTGTTACAAGCCTGTAAACAAGTTGTTACAAGTCTGCAAACAAGTTGTTACAAGTCTGTAAACAAGTTGTTACAAGTCTGTAAACAAGTTGTTACAAGTCTGCAAACAAGTTGTTACAAGTCTGTAAACAAGTTGTTACAAGTCTGCAAACAAGTTGTTACAGGTCTGCAAACAAGTTGTTACAAGTCTGTTCACAAGCTGTCGACAAGTTGTGTTCGCACTGCTTGTTCCCAGTTGTTGTAACAAGTTTGAAACAAGCTGTTAACAACCTGTAACAAGCTTGATGGCATTATCAGTCTTGTTACAAGACTGTGCTAACAAGTTTGTTACAGCGATGATATAACAAGGATGTTACAAGGTTGTCAACACAAGGTTGTAACAATCTTGTTATATCAAGCATGTAACGGACTTGTCAAAACAACCTTGCAACAAGTCTGATAATTTCGACAAGGTAGTTACAAATTGTAAACAAGTTGTTCCAAACCTGTTGACATCTCGTGACAAGCAGTGCGAATACATCTTGTTGACGGCTTGTTGGCAGACTTGTTACAAGATGTGAGATTTTTAAGTCGGTAAAAAACTCACAACTTGTCAACAAGATGTCATGTGTTCGCACAAGGCCTGCGAGAGGGGGAGGGGGGCAGATGGGGCAAAATACCCGGGGCCCATAGCGCTCAGAGCGGCCCGGAAATCTCGGTAAATTGTTCACATCGTCTATCATTGCTTTATATGTGTCCTAAATGAGAGGGACAGGGGCCCGTGCCCCAGCGCGCCGAACAGGGGGTCCGTGTTCAAATTCGTCATTTTGTCCCGGGACCCGTGGTTGGCTCTCGCCGGCCTTGTGTTCGCAACAGGCTTGTAGCAAGCTTGTCAACAAGTTGTAACATTATTGTTATTTTATTAAGTTGCTACACGGGTTGTCACTTACAACTTGTTGACAAGTTGTTGAATTGCAGGACGATAACAAGTTGTTGGAATTGAACAACTTGTAACAAGTCTGTTGAGCTCAATAACCTTGTAGCAAGTTGTCAGCAAGCCGTTGACAAGTTGTCAACAAGCAGTGCGAACACATCCTGTTGACAAGTTGTTGCAACAGCATTGCTAAAAGTCTGCTGCAGTTTGTTACAACTTGTGCGTTTTTACGTACACACGCAAAAATCTCACATCTTGTAATTCTTGTTGCAAGTCTGTCAACAAGTTGTCAAACAAGTTGTGTTCGCACTGCTTGTTCCCAGTTGTTGTAACAAGTTTGGAACAAGCTGTTAACAACTTGTAACAAGCTTGGTGGCATTATCAGACTTGTAGCAAAGTTGTTCTAACAAGTCTGATAGAGTCATTATATAACAAAAATGTGACAAGGTTGAGGACACAAGGTTGTAACAATATTGTTATATCACGACTGTATCGGACTTGTTGGAACAACCTTGCAACTAGTCTGATAATATCAACAAGGTTGTTACAAGTTATTAACAGTTCGTTCGAAACTTGTTGACCACTTGGAACAAGCAGTGCGAAGACAACTTGTTGACAGACTTGCTACAAAAGTCTACAAATTGCGAGACTTTTGCGTGTGTACGAGATTGTTTTCTGCCAATTGTGCTTATCCTGTCCTCAACTTCCGCGCTTGGTCAATGGCTATGGTTTGGTCACGTGTAAGTCACGAGGGCACGAAAATATGTTCTTAAATACACACGTAAAAATGACATATTGTAACAAGTCTGCCAATAAGCCGTCAACAAGTTGTGTCCGCACTGCTAAGTCTGCAAACAAGTTGTTACAAATCGGTTCACAAGCTGTCAACAAGTTGTGTTCGCACTGCTTGTTCCCAGTTGTTGTAACAAGTTTGGAACAAGCTGTTAACAACTTGTAACAAGCTTGATGGCATTATCAGCCTTGTTACAAGACTGTGCTAACAAGTTTGTTACGGCCATGATATAACAAGGATGTTACAAAGTTGTCAAGACAAGGTTGTGACAGTCTTGTTATATCAAGCATGTAAGGGACTTGTCTGAACAACCTCGTTACAAGTTGTCAACAAGTTGTTCTAAACCTGTTGACAACATGTGACAAGTAGTGTGATTAATGCATCTTGTTGACGGCTTGTTGGCAGACTTGTTACAAGATGTGAGATTTTTACGTGGGTATGTTCTAAAAATACAAATGTCTCACATCTTGTACCAAGTTAGCATGCATAGCAAGCGGTCCCTAAAATCGGGCAAGCCTGCAAAGTCTGCCAACAAGTTGTCAACAAGTTGTGTTCGCACTGCTTGTCCCAAGTTGTCAAGAAGTTTGGAACAAGCTGTTTACAACTTGTAACAACCTTGTTGATATTATCAGACTTGTTACAAACAAGGTTGTTTCAACAAGTCCGATACAGTCATGATATGACAATATTGTTACAACCTTGTGTCGTCAACCTTGTAACATTCTTGTTATCTCATTACTGCCTGCCATAGAACAACCTTGTAACAAGTCTGATAATGCCAACAAGGTTGTTACAAGTTGTTAACAGCTTGTCCCAAATGTGTTACAACAACTGGGAACAAGCAATGCGAACACAACTTGTAACAACCTATGCGTTTTTACGCTTGTACACGTGATACACACGCAAAACGCACAAGTTGTAACAAACTGCAACAGTCTGGTACACGCGTAAAAACGCACAGCTTGTAACAAGTCTGCAAACAAGTTGTTACAAGTCTGTTCACAAGCTGTCAACAAGTTGTGTTCGCACTGCTTGTTCCCAGTTTGTTGTAACAAGTTTGAAACAAGCTGTTAACAACTTGTAACAAGCTTGATGGCATTATCAGCCTTGTTACAAGACTGTGCTAACAAGTTTGTTACAGCCATGATATAACAAGAATGTTATAAGGTTGACGACACAAGATTGTAACAATACTGCTATATCGTGACTGTATCGGACTTGTTGAAACAACCTTGTAACAAGCCTGATAATATCAACAAGGTTGTTACAAATTGTTAACAGCTTGTTCCAAACCTGTTGTTTGTGACAAGCAGTGCGAATATATCTTGTCGACGGCTTGTTGGCAGACTTGTTACAAGATATGTGAGATTGTTGCGTGTGTAGCAATGCTTTTCCAACAACTTGTCAACAGGATGTGTTCGCACTGTTTTTTCCCCCAGCTTGTTGACAACATGCTACAAGGTTTTGAGCTGAACATAATTGTTACAAATTGTCCCAACAACTTGTTATCGTCCTACAATTCATCAATTTGTCAACAAGTTGTGAGTGACAACCTTGTAGCAACTTGATAAAATAACAACATTGTTAAAACCTGTTGACAAGCTTGCTACAAGCATGTTGCGAACACGTCGTGTTGACAAGTTGTGAGATTTTTAAGTGTGTAAGCCAATTTAAATTTTCATGCAGTAAAAACCCACATAAAAAGCAGTGTTGTAAATACTCGTTACTACACACGTAAAGAAACCCACAACTTGTCAACAAGATGTGTTCGCAACAGGCTTGTAGCGAGCTTGTGAACAAGTTGTAACAATGCTGTTATTTTATCAAGTTGCTACAAGGTTGTCGCTCACAACTTGTTGACAAATTGATGAATTGCAGGACGATAACAAGTTGTAATTGGAATAACTTGTAACAAGTCCGTTGCCGTTGACAACTTGTCAACAAGCTGGGGACAAGCAGTGGAAACACATCCTGTTGGCAAGTTGTTGGAACAGCTTTGCTACAAGTATGATGCAGATTTGTTTCAATTTGTGCGTTTAGGCCCGTACAGACCGCGATTTGGCAACGCGACGCGAATTTTCAATTTTCAATGACATTTAACTTTAATATTTTTCTATGTTTTTCAAATATTCGGAACCACTTAAGCAATTTTGAAAATTCGCGTCGCGTTGTTGAATCGCGTTCGGTCTGTATGGGCTTTTTCGTGAGTATGATGTAACGCGTTACACACGTAAAACGCACAAGTTGTTACAAGTCTGCAAAAAAGTTGTTACAAATCTCTGAAAACTGTTCACACAAACTGTGGACATGTTGTGTTTGCGTTGCTTGTTCCCAGTTGTTGGAACAAGTTTGGAACAAGCTGTTAACAACTTGTAAGAAGCTTGATAGCATTATCAGACTTGTTACAAGGTTGTTCTAACAAATCTGATACAATCACGATATAACAAGAATGTTACAATGTTGACGACACAAGCTTGTAACAATATTGTTATGCCATGTCTGTATCGGACTTGTTGGAACAACCTTGCAACAAGTTTGATAATATCAACGCTTGTTGTTAACAGCTTGGACAAGTTGTTGACGCCAAGCTTGGGACAAGCAATGCGAACACAACTTGTTGACAGGCTTGCTACAAGATGTGAGCTTTTTACGTGTGCACATGTGGTAAGCCATTTTGGGACGCAGCAAAAACCGGGGCCTTTTTTAAAAATTCGTCAGTGGGAGGGGAGGGTCTCTACAGAAAAGGACCATACTATACTGAGTGTAGAGAGATGAAAAAAGTTAGGTGACAAAAAGTTTGGTGTGGTGTCGTATGCAATATTAAGAAGGGGTGGGGCAATGGCGTAACGCAACCTCAAGTGACCCCCCCACATCAATCGGCCGTCCCTGGTCCCATCTCCCACTAAACAACAGGGTGTATTACTGGCAACACAATCGCAATGCGAAAGTGAGATGTTTTTAGTTTAGAAATAAACTATATTACATTACAGTACCTGTTCAACATAGCATTCGCATTTTGCGTAAAGTAGAACTGTACCTGCCTCGAATCAGCTAGCTAGAGGTAGGCCTATTGTGAGAATATTTTGCAATTACATATATTCTAACTACTAATTCATGTATTTTAATAACTGCTTTTCTGTTTTCATTATTCAATTCCTCGGAAATGTACTAGCAAACATTTTTATGGTCATCCCTGGCGTGGGGCCCCCGTCGCTTCACACCCGCCAGTTACACCACTGGAAATTTTCTTCCACCCCTAGGACTGCATTTCGTGCGTTTTCCGAAACAGATTTTTGGATACAGATATCATTTTGGTTTGTCAGGTCAAACTGAATCCAAGTAATTGCAAATATTTGGTTAACTGTAGACCTCCCACCCTTTGCGATCCTGGGGATGGGTTTCATGCTATAAAGGCGTGGGGCAGAACATGTGGCAGCTCATTGTGTGGAATGCCATGGATTTATGAGATAAGGTCTCTGGGACGGCGAAGATAACGCTGTCATAAGCATTACAGCAAAATCAACCAACATCTTTGTACTAATTCGATCATTTATACTGAATATAACAAATACTATATCATAAAATGAACATTACATTTGACATTAAAATTCGTATAAAATGTCTCTTTTGTCTTTTAAAATATAAGCAAAATAGTGATGAATTAGTTTAGAAGAGTGTTTCGAAACACTAAGAACGTTTTCTGAATGTAATTCCATGGCTCTCCCTACTAAAACTGTTAAATGATGTTGCAAAAATAACTCTAGATTAATTTCTCAAAATTTTCCAGGTTCACACAAGACAATAATGAGAAGTTAGTTCTATACAGATGTGGAAAAAAAGTGAGATCTTGGGATCTTAAGGAACACTTGCCTTAGCGGGAAGATAATTGAGGAACATTCATTTTCAATTTTTCACACATACGTTATGGGAGAATCTTAAGCTGGATTTCCACTTGCAAGAAAAATTTCGCTGTCGAAATGTTTCGCTCAAATTCTTTTGAATTGTTGAGCGGTCAAGTAGAACCGATTTATTCGGATGGTCACAATTCAAAAGAAATCAAGCGAAATATTTGGACGACGAAATATTCTCTGTAAGTAGAACAAGAAATCCACCCTTAAGCAATAATTAGATCATACTTCCTTATCTGTCATTTGAGATTGTGAAGTGTTGTTCAATGTTTAAAATTTGGCATAATGAACTGTGAAATTTTCCATTGTTTTTACGCACTTTTGAAGAGCATTTCAAAAAGGCAAATTCAAGATCCGGGGACTTTTTCACACTTTTTCCAGATCTGGTTCTGATCAGATTTTGATTTTAAGGTTATAGGATACCCTAGAACTTTAAAAATTTCAAACATTTTTTTGACATATTCTTGTAGCTTTGAAATAGAAATGTCGTCACGAAACATTTCAAGTTAAAATCTTTCATATTAAACAAGTTATCAAGTAAAACGATTTTCGAAGTCTACATGCTTGGCAGGAAAACTAATTAGCATTAAAGTCAATTTTCAGAGACATTAATCATGAGTCGTATACACGCACTAAGCGTGGGTTTTAACGGATTGTTCTTAAATTCGCACAAGTTATAGGTGTATGTCTTGGCTACGAAAGTGCGTTCGCGCGAGCTTCACAGATCTTTAGTTGCTTTACAGGCCTTTTGTTGTGCATTGGTTGCAATATAACACAAGTCGGGAAAGACTATGCCTTAGCTAAGTAACCCCTTAAGCAACAATAAAATGCGAACACACATTTTTAGAACAATCCTGGAGATGGGTACAAATGATAGTTTGACAGGTTTTTATTTTTAGTGAGACCTATTTTTAGAGGTACCACAAACTTGAACTAGTAGCAATATTCGGGAAAATTTTTTTCTCGTATATTTTTATAACACTGTGATATTCTTCATCTATATCTGGCTACATTCGGCGAAAATTTTATAGAAATTGGATAGAAATTCGCCGAGTAATGGTAGATCTCCTGAAAAGCGTACCTAAGGTATCCTGTAAACTTAACAACTTTATTGGTACCCTTAAGATAAGAATTATAATATTTATGAAATATTACAAGGCCCTAAAAGGAAAGATGCGAACGAGTCGATATCTCCCATGTAATGCATCTCTTGTACAATTAGTACTAGAAAGTTCATACCGTAAACCTCCGAATGTCAGGCCTGGGCTAATATTTGTTCGTAGGCATTTTTTGAGTGGCTTAAACATGCGGGGGGGGGGGGGG